TTTTAAGAAAACTTGTGACGCTAAGAAATGGGCGAAGTATGCATGTTTAAACTCGTATAACTCGACAAAAAACCATGGCGAAAAAAATTCCTTTACACATTGGTTACAAATAACCTTGGCAACAACGTGGTGTAGTTTTAACAAAATGGCGCCATAAAATGTTTTTCCTGGTACACTTGACGAATTTTGCACATACGTCTTCGAACACACATTTTTCATGGGCGACAACTATGATTGAAGTCAGGTGCATCATGTTTCGTTTGTGGAACCTAACCACATGAAAGACTTACATAAGTGCGATATTTTATAGAAATTCCGCAAAATTGCTAACTACAAGTGGGTTATTTTGATAATTTTTTTTCTGCAGGGTATATACAGAAATATGTATGTATGTATGCATATGTATATGTATATGTATCCATGTTTTTAAAGTACTTATTTATTATGTCGCGCAAAACAGAGACCAAGTTAGTTTATTTTTAAAGCATGTGGCTTGCACTTTGCTAGTCAAAAACTGACATTGGCCAGTCCATGTCCTTGAGTTAGTCTCTTTCCATGATTCCCACTGCGGCAAATACTTTGGTTTCAATGTAACTAAAGAGCTGCTGCCGATAATAATGAGCTTTTGTTGCATTAGGATGTGCTTTGCCTGTTAGTGAACTAGTTCGCTACACTCATTTTCATTTGTGCTATTTTTGCCAGCTGCGTCTTTCGTTCTTTTTTGCTAATCTCATTTTATGGCTGCTAAGTGTGAAAATAGTTTCTTAGTGTAGGATAAAAGTACTTCCCACATGTTTTCAATATACTGAGCAGACGAATTCAGTACATACTTTGCCCTTTAAATTTCGTTAACGACTTTCAGGTATAGTTTCGTTTTATTCAAAATGAGGAAACGAACGAAAGGAAAGCTACGCTTCAATGCTGGCAAATATGAATGTGTTTGGGTGTAAATTTTCAATTACACAAAACGACTGCATGCATTCACACATACTCGTATATACATACATACATACATGCATACATACTATGTACTTATGAACACAGTTATTTCGGTAAATTTATAAATTGAAAGCCAGATCTTTCCTTTGCTTATGAATTGCACATCGCATTGGAGTGTGTTGGGCTGGGTATAGGTACCCTGTGGGACAATCTTTAGTTCTGAACTGGGGCGCTTCTAGTACATTTAGACCCAGTACTGGTTCGCGATAAATCTCTTTTGCATGCAAGCAACTGGCGAATTTAACATGGCGATGTCCTAGGAAGTGTCAATTGCCCCCCGCTGCATCCCTTTTTCGATAGTTCCGAAATAGTCCTAAATTCTACAGTTCCGAACCAGTTCTAAAATCGACAGACGAAAGAAAAAAGTATCATGATTTTTAATCTTTTCGGTTCTTCCATGTGCGATTTTTCATTATTTTCAAAGAAACGTTTTTTTCAAATTGAAATTAAATTTGTTTGAATGATTGTAAGAAATGTACGTTTACATAACTTTGGCTGTAGCTGACTTTGCAGAGGTGCTCGCTGTTATGGGTTAGATTCCAGACGGCCCCAAGATGTTAATATGTTAACACAAAGCTTTGTTTTGTATTACCAAACTATGAAATAGCACCTGCGAAGCACAGAATAGAAGCGTATTTGAACGAAAAAGCCGCCGAACACATATCTATGTAAAGTAAACAAGCCCCCAGCTGCATCCCTTATTTGATAGTTCCGAAATAGTTCTAAATTCGACAAATAGGATCTAGTTCGTTCTGCATCCCTTTTTCTATAGTTCCGAACCATTTCTAAATTCGTCACTTTAGATATAGATTTCTAGTAAAAAAACTGAAAAAAATAGTTTCTTAAAAGTACCACTTTTCGCCGATTTTGGACTGGTGGGGATCTAGTTCCTATCGGACTAGTTCGTTTTTGGCGATAAAGACCTAGTACGGAACTAGAAATTTGATTCACTAGTCCGCGGTTTCCCTGCAGGGTAGGTATGCCAAATAATAATATACATACATACGTCGGCTTATGAATATAAGAACAACTTAGGTGTTTGGTTCTTATCGGATTAGGGAGCAAAGTAAAAACAAATGTATGCTTGTGTATTTCTTTTAAATTGCTTTCAACTTCAGCGCATTGCCGTAAATTTTGTGTAAAGCTAACACAAGGACGACTGTGAACGGAAGAAAAGCAAATGCGTTCTATAGCAGCTACTTACGTAAATATAACTGTATATATACGTATATGTATTCTCCTGCGTTAAAAGCAATTTTATTTTATTTTTTATTTTAAAGTTTAGTTGGACTACGTTTTGTTTTTCAATACAATTTCTAATAATCTTACATATACATATGTATGTACATAAACAGATAAATAAATATGTAACCTGTCAGGAATTTTGTCGTCGACTTCTAAAATATCTAACTTTTCAGCCACAAATTACGTTGAAAAATAATGAACTTATAGTGCTTTTATAATTATTTGAGTTTCCTACAGGGTATGTACGTATTGTACATTGTATACACATTTGTACTACATTCGTGTGCGTCTAAAAGGTAATAAAAATAAATTCAAGTAAACTCAACGGCTACTCCTCTCCCGCCGAATTGGAAAACTGGATAAAGTGAACGCCTTTTTGGTAAATAAAAAACGTTATTTTGCCGCCCTGAGTACTTTGAGGCGATACTCAACATAAAAGGCTGGCGCCAGCAGCCTATGTTCTGAACCCATCGCAGTTAATTTGGTGTCCCAAGTACAGTTGAGAGAACTTATGTGATCTTCTATCACCAAAGGCAAGAGTCCGGAAAGAGGGACCCCAATACTGCTCAATTGTCGCTAGTTATGCAGGGGAAATCGATGGCCGAAAGAAACGATGCACAAGCCACAGTCTTGGATTGAACCCCACTCCCTTGCGCTATATAAGCATTACGGGCGCCATGAGTACAACGTCAGGATGCTTTGTTGAATTTGTCGCCTCTGGATTTAGCGATCCAAAAATGAAAACGATGTGTCGACTGCACTCTTTTGGTCTGTGGCACGACGATCGGAGCTCTGAGCACGGATAGTTGTTCAGAAGGTTGTCAGAACAATATCCTTTGGTTTTGGCACCAAATGACAAACCAGGGTTGGGCATGCTGCACTAAATCAAGATTTTCACTGCCACTAGGGCTTCAGTGGTAGTGCATTTCAAATTTCACTACCACTATACGGTTAGTGGGAGTGCATTTCAAATTTCACTACCACTGTATGACTACCACTATATGGTTAGTGGTGCATTTCAAATTTCACTACCACTATATGGTTAGTGATAGTGCATTTCAAATTTCACTAGCACTACATAGTGATAGTTAAATAGAATTTCCACTATCACTATCTGGTGAGCGGTAAAGGAACGAAAGTTTCACTTTCACGGACTAACTACATTAGATAGTTAGTTATTTAATTCAAAAATGTATAACCACCAACCATATAGTGGTAGTGAAATTGGCAATGCATTACCACTAAAGTGCATAGTGGTAGTGAAAACAATTTGGCACTACCACTAACCATTAGTGATAGTGAAATATTTTTTTCACTACCACTATGCACCTAGTGGTAATGCATTTCAAATTTCACGACCACTGTAGGGTTAGTGGTAGTTCATTTCAAATTTCACTACCACTATATAGACACTCTCTTGGGAAGCTCGGTGAAAACTTTCTATACTGACGGCTCAAAACCTGTAAACGGTACTGGAGCTGGATGGCATCTGGATGGAGACTTCAGATGCTTTACCGCTTTGGGCCCAATGACAACGGTCTTTCAATCGGAAGTCTTTGCAATACGGAAAGTGTCAGACTGGAAAACTGACGAAAGGTGGCGCGGACATAAAATCAGGATCTGCAGTGACAGCTAAGCTGCTCTAAAGGCCCTGGAAACCGCTCAAATCTCTTCAAAGTTAGTCCGGGAATGTAAGTTGAAGCTGAGCTTGAACTTGTGTGGGTGCCAGGACACTACGGTGTTCAAGGTAACGAATTAGCGAACTGCGGTTCTCTGGAGCGCCCAATTGAACTGGAACTAATTGTAGGGCCAAACATAGCGGGAACGATCCGGTGCATCAAGGATCTCATAAGCAAAACTCATGAGAGCCGTTGGTGCACTATTGACACCTGCAAAATTACCAAGTGTTTCCTGAAAAGGCCTGACAGGGAGGTAGCAAAATTTCTTCTCAGACAAAGAAGGAGTGATCTACGAGTCCTGGTAGGACTGATTACGGGGCACAATCCATGGGGACGACATATGGTCACCATAGGCATCATCGACGATCCACTGTGTACATCGTGTTTGGAGGACGAGGATAGTACAGAACATTTCTCCGCCGCTGTCCGGCCTTCTTCAGACTCAGATGGTACATTTTTGGGTTGGATGTACTGAGAATGGACGACTTGCATTCTCTTTCCCTCAACAAATTGCTAAAATTCATAAAGGAGTCTGATAAGTTTGCAGAGGAGTAATGAATTCCCACCCCACCTACATATCCCTTTCCCCTAAATCCTGTTTCTTGGCCTTAAATACAATGGGCAATACTGCTTGAGTGCTTGGAAAAATTTGTTTTTGGTTTTTCCGGCCACCCACAATTCCATTCCATTCCATTTCGCTAACTGAGATACGAGACAAGAAACTAGACTTTAGGTAGTACAAAGTCGATGCAGCTTCTGCTTTCTGTATATTGTCTTGTCCATCCCAAGAGAAAGCCCCTGTCTTTTCCCAGCGCTGAGTAATCGTCGCCTCACATGAACGATGAACCCCTTTCAAAGCCTCCAAGTCCCCATTACTCGGGGAAATCATTCCTGCACTGCGCCAAAGCATTGTGGAGGTCTCTTATAGCATATAGGTCACTAGCTCCAGTATTCACAAGGAAAATGTGCAGTGAATATATCTTCAGAGAATGGAGAGTCTACAGTGTGAAGTTTTTTCCTGAATGATGGGAGGAACTCTCATGCTTTATCCAAGGGCTTAAGGCCATTTAGTCCAACATGGTTCCCACTGAAGACGCTGAGGATGGTATTTATTGGGAACGCATTTGGTGGATATTCCGACAGGTCAGTGTACAACCGTAATTTCAAACTTACAATGCAAATAAAGCCGCATAGAAAAGTATGTATATTAATTAACTTTTAGATCTCTCTAAATGAGAATGAAGTTGATATATTCTCAAAATATTTGACCCAAAAATACCTCTTCTTAGTTTATTGCCTGCCTGACAAAAGTAAAGAAAATTTCCTTTATTTCTTTGCTTACCTAGACAGGAAGTAAGTTTAGATAACTGTATGTTGGTAAAAATGGGTTTGCGATTAACTCTAGCAATCGTAATTTCTTGTTGTGCTGCTTTATTGGAAAATCCACTTCTAAAATACCAAGTTCCCATTGCAATATAAATTTTGGTGCCAGGTCCAAAGGCACCCGCTTCTGCTCTGCCCGTCATCTATGATTCGTCCTTTGTTGCTCAAAACACTTTTGTACTTTGTAAATTCCGCGAAGTTGCTGCTGCTTGGACAAAAATATGGAGTGGAGTCCAACCTAGGAGTAACTCTAAGGCCGCGGTTGAACACGTTCTCATTAATACCGTCACCTACTGTAGAGCTGTCCTTTGGAGTTTGTACAGACGTGAAACGGCAGTTTTTGCAGTTTTTTTGGCCAACACGGGACTATATTTAGGGCCTCATTGGTACACCAGGTTGATACCGGTGCTGACAATTATTAACTAGGTCGTCCGCATATCCAACAGCATCGTAATAACTTTCCTGTAGTTTGGTTAAGAGGTCATCCACCACAAGAGACCAGAGTAGAGGAGACAAAACACCTCCCTGTGTTCACCCCTTATGGCTCTGATGTTGCCTAAGGACGATGCGATATCACGCTAATGGAGCATGGTGTCGATCAGTGGCGTAGCCAGGGGGCGGCTTTGGGGGGATAGATCCTCCCCGTCCCCCCTTCGTCATTAAAATGAAACTTTTTATTTTTGAATTAATAACACAATACTATTTTACCCTTCCGATTTATAATTTTTATACCCGAGCGCACTTGTGCACAAGGGTATATTAATTTTGTTCACATAACGGTTGTTTGTAACAGCCAAAACGAATCGAGATAGATATATACAAATGTATACATAAATGCTCAGAATGAATAGAGAAATCGATTAAGCCATGTCTGTCTGTCCGTCCGTCTGTCCGTCTGTCCGTCTGTCCGTCTGTCCGTCTGTCCGTCCGTCCGTGTACACCATAACTCGAGCAAAAATTGAGATACATATCTCAACAAAATTTGGTATGTAGGTTTTCGTTAATCCAAGGTAGGTTGGTATTGAAAATGGGCGAAATCGGACTGTAGCCACGCCCACTTCCCATATAACGGTAATTTCCAGAAATACGAAAACTGCGATATTTTAGTAACTACTGAAGATAATTCACTCAAGATTGATATTTACAATAATTTTCAGACGAAAAATAAGAATATTAAAAATCTTTGGATTATGGGCGTAGCCACGCCCACTTATGGTTACATGTTTATATATTGGTAACCGCTGCACCAATTTCTTCCAAACTTGGCACAATTGTTGGCCTTGATACAGACTAAATGGCCGAAACTTTTAAAAATCGGACAATAACCACGCCCACAGTCCACAGGGTAATTTAGAGAAATACGAAATCTTCGATAAATCAGTAAATATTAAAGCAAATTTATTCAAAATAGACGCTTGCAACAATTCTTTACCAAGAAATACGTTTATGGTAAAATTTTGGAAAACGGACGTGGCACCGCCCACTTATGATCACATATATGTATCTCGGTAACCGTTCTACCGATTTGTACCAAACTCGGTATTTTTATTGTGCTTGCCACATAAAAGCAAAACGTTGAAAATTATTGAAATCGGACTAAAATTACGGCCGCTTTTCATATAACGGTAAATTTCAGAAATGCTTGAAACTGCAATATTTCGAAATTTAAAGACGCTAATTTACTCAAAATTACCATGTAGCGGTAGCTTTCGGAAAGTTGAAAAAACATTTATTTAATACTTGCGCCGGGTATTTAATGTTCGGCTCCGCCCGAACTTAGTCTTTCTTACTTGTTTTATTTCAGACTGATGACAAATTATCTTTTAATGAATATATAAAATTATCGGTTGGTGGATTATGTATTTGAATACTTGCGAAATACACTAGGCCATTTTGCTTAGTTCCCCACAGTGTAGGGAAATAATCTATAATCTATACAAAAACTGTACTTTTCGACTGTAAATTGTATCGACTTTTTAATTTGCTCATATGCATGCATGCATACATAGATTCCCTTCAAGACCAATGCTTTGATGGTATTCACGGGAAAGTTTATGTAGGTACATTTACATATTTTACACTTTTAACATAAATGTCAAGGCAGATATTTTAAGATACACTTCTTAACAAACAAATTTTTTTAAGTTATTATGAATGGATAAAAGAGACATCTTCTTTGAATTCAGTACTAAAACTTGACATTTCAAGTGCTTATCAAAACTTTATACATGTTAACTAGATTCGCCATTTATCTTAAAATTATATAATCTTAATTATTTTTTTTAAAAATGCAGTTTACACTTTAACAAAACCCGTATAAATCCAAAGTTTAATATTTGCGCAACATTAACAAAATCAACAAACTTTCGTAAAGCTTTAATTAGATTTCCTAGAAATACATATTTTGAGCAAGTCTAAAATACATAGCTGCGACTTATCGTTGATTTTTAATATTTTATTTTTTTTTGATGAAGGCGTTGCTCATTTTCTTCATTAAAAAAATCGTCGAACATACTTAGATAATATGGAAGAAAATGACCGACATCGTCAAAAATATGCCATACATCAACTGTAAATCACAGCTACTTTAAATTTGCACTTTACTAGACTAAAATTGAATGAGCTAAAAAACTGCAAAATATTAAGAGATAAAATTGGAATAAAAAGTTCAAAATTTTTACGAAAGTTTGTCGATTTTTTTTTAATGTTGTTCAAAGACTGAACTTATTTTCATTTAGTGTTTGTTAAGGAATAAACTATAGTTTTATAAACAAATAATTCAAATTAAAATATAATAAAATAAATAGTCAAATCTACTCAATATGTGAGTGTCGTAAAGTTATGATATTTAAGAACATCTCTTTCTTAATTAACGATGACACTGTTTCTATATGAAGCTGATTTCAACATTTTGTTTTAATAAAATTTAGTATCGAAAATATTCTTTCAAAACTTGCCTAGGAATGTGATATAATGGTTGGTTCAAAACCTTTTTTCAAAACTTATAAACGCAAAAACGAGAACGCGAAGAAAAACAAAGAGAATACAAAAATTTCCCGCAGTGAATTTTCAGATTTTTAAAACGGTATAGTAATTTAAATTTTTAAATATAAATAAAGCATGAATACCCCATGGAATAAACGAGTAGATAAAAAATATATAACGGTAAAACTGGCACATACATAAATATATGAAAGAATGCACTCAGGCGACGCCTCAAGCCATTGTGTGTCACAAATTTAAGTTATCGATGGAAATATTTTTTTTTCATACCCCCCCCAAACCAAATCCTGGCTACGCCACTGGTGTTGATCCACCCGACAGTGTAGCCTGAACTTACATTCGTAAATAATTTTAAAGGACGTACAATTAATTTTACAACAAACTCTGTTTTGGTCCAGCTCCTTTCAGTTATCTATTCTTGTAAACTGAATAATCAGATAGCAAATCACATCAGCACTTCACCGAATGCACAATAGAATATGAAATTTGCCTCCAAACGTCATCCAGTGCCAAGTTCTTTTCAGTTCTTGGAGCGGCCTGTGTAAAAATGTTGCCCAAACTTCTTATTTTTCCATAAGTTAACACATTCTATAACATCTTTCAAAAAACTATACACGGTCGTAAAGTCAATAAGAAAAAGCATATTTTTAATTTGAAACATATTTTTAATTCAGTAGAAGAAATATCAACAAAACATTAACATTCATATGCCAGGTTTTGTATTTTCGGTAACTGGTTACAAATGCATTGCATACGGAGAAGCGCTCCGAATTATGTCTTCAATACAATAAACTATCCTGTAAGTATTTAAATATATATGTACGTAGGAGTGTAAATCGATGGTCCTCTGCAATAATGCCACAATGGCATATGTCTTCAATCTTTGACTAAATATTTATAAAGCAGTCATAATTTGAAAGCTTAAAAATGTTCCTTTCCTTTTCAATTTAAATTCGGTGGTCGGAGAGTAGCATTTAAAATAACTAAAAACAAAAAAGAAAGTCTAAGTTCGGGCGGAGCCGAACATTAATTACCCTGCACACTTATTAAATCGTCGTTTAAAGTACAAAACCGCGTATGAACAAAATGCAAAACCGCATATGTGAGGTTGCATAAATTATTTTCTAGAGAGTAAAAACACTCACAATTCAAAATGGTTATCGTTTTATAAAGCAATCGCATTTCTGGCTAGTATATTTCAGGACGAATGGATGTGTGAGCAAATCCAAGTTTTGGCAGCCAATGTCAGTTACGCGGTTTTGTACTTTAAACGACGAAATATATGTTCTTCACCTTTGCTAAAACTACCGCTACATGGTAAACAGGGGTGTTTTTACCCCTTTTTTAAACATCTGCGATAGAAAGTTCAGTTAGAATAAATAAGATAATCTTACATATATAGTCATATGTGGGCGGCATCACGCCCATTTTCCAAAATCCTAATAATGTTATTTCTTTTCAAGGGATTGTTGTTAGTATCCATTTTGAGTAAATTAGCGTCCTTAAATTTCGAAATATCGAAGTTTCAAGCATTTCTGAAATTTAACGTTGTATGAAATGTGAAGGTAATTTTAGTCCGATTTCAATAATTTTCAACGGTTTGCTTTCATGCGGCAAGAACAATAACCATATCGAGTTTGGTACAAATTGGTAGAACGGTTACCGAGATACATATATGTGATAAAAAGTGGGTGGGGCCACGCCCATTTTCAAAAATTTTACCATAAACGTATTTCTTGGTAAAGAGTTATTGGGAG